TCGCACCAGCACTCGCCCATCTTGTCTCGCGCCACACTCTGTTGCATCGGGTCTCACAGGAGCAGGTCTCTAATCCACTGGCACTTGACTCGACAGTGCATGTGCTACATCCTTTTTACAATCTCTAGATTATAAAACACTGCATTCTGTCAGCAATGTAACGCGGCAGTAACCTATAGAGACCTCGGCTTGTAACTATACTCTAATTTCTATTTTGAAAATAATAACGTGTTAAATTACTCAGTTACTAAAAAAGGAATCAAATTACAGTAACGCGTTACTAAGTAATGCGTTACTGCCCAACACTGCTCCTGTTACAGGGGCCCCCCTAGTGCTCTGGGCCCTGGGTTGCATCCAAATTTGCCAACTGGGTTAAAGCCGTCCTGCCAATAGCATTTGACAGAAAAGAAGCATATGCAAATTTACATTTAAACAATGAAATTGCTTGATTCCGATTGGTGGAGTCAGTCATGTCGAGAACAAAGTGTAGTCTACCGTCCCACACTCAAATAGGGCCAGGTCTGGGTTGTAGGAGCATAGCATGCAAACTGCAAACCAAACCCCACAAAAACGAGCTAACTGGACATCACACAGCCCAGGAAGCAGCGATTGGCCCCATCAATAATTAACTTCAATTACATGAATCATTCATTTCTCCTCCAGCCTGGACATGCACCTGTAGCAACATATTTCATTACAGAAACCGGATCTTAGAGCTTTGGAGATGTCGCGTAGTGAAGATGCATTCGGGGTGGATTTCAGAGCTCAGTGAAGCACCTGACAGACACGTCGGCAGCTGATGTGAGCTCTGCTGCTCACCCCCTTCAGCTGAGCTCAGGAGGGACCCGTCACACACAGCGACAAACACACTCCCACTCTGACAAGTGAAAACGCCTCATCTCAAACATCCTCGAACCGCTGCTGCAGAAACAGAAAGGATGAAATAATCAAAACTACCCAAGCATGATGTTATAGCTAGTGAGGAACGGGTCTGCCAACATGATCTGTGTGTTGCATCAGGATCTGCCTCTTGCTTTATGCCAATTACCCTCATTATCAGCTGTGCTTTCAGTGGCACAGACACGCTCGGCTAAAGAGAGATCAATAGAGAAGCACAGCCCAATGAGGGGCGACACCTGGACCGCATGCTATTGTCATGAAGAGGGCTCATTACCAGGCTCTCTGCCGAGCAGGTGTAACATCGCCACGGCGACACGATGCAACTCTAGAAAAATTACAGCAGCTTTGGATGAGCACAGTCAAGCTGTTGTCAACCTGTTAGCGTCAACAGCTACCCCGGATCTCATTATGAGGATAATGCAAATACATATCTCATTTGCTCACAATTAACAGTACGGTGTTTCACATCACTGACACTCAGCTCTACTTGCATACAACATTTAAAAAGGTGGAGAAAATACATACATGTATTGCTCATAAATGAAAGAAAGAAAAAGTTTTCACAAGAAAATTTTGGAACATTAATCCTGAAGAATGCAGTCAATAAAGCATCAAAACTTTAATGTTTCAGACTAATTTAGATTATATTGGGAAATGCCATGTAAAGCAGTGAAATTTATTTATTTTTAATATCACAATGTGGGATTATGAAGCACAGGAAATATAAAAGATAATCAAATATAAACTGTACTGATTATCTGTTTAATAATAATCGGTTTAAAATATGATCTGCAGACTGTTTTTTGGGTCAATGACAAATAAGAAAGATCAAAATGAGTAGTTCTGTGCATGTTGGATTCATACATTTAAAAAATTTATTAAATATAAATAAATTCAAAATAAATACAGCATATAAAACATGCTTTTTGTTAGTTGGTAGGGCTTCAATTGAAAAAAAATTAAAACATTTTATGGTAAAAATACTAATTTTAAAAATACAGTTCATGATACAAATATAATAATGCTCATGAATTTAAGAGGTCTTCATAAAGTTACTGGACATACATGCATTTTTTTAATGTAATGAATTTTACACAGGGTCATTAGGGTCTAAAGGGGTCCTCTTTGTGATTATCTTGTCACATGTCAACACAATGAAATGACTTCCTGCAGGTTGAAAACCCTAACAACACCAACTTGGTGTTCAAAATTGAGTTGATTTTTCTAAATATTTCAAATATTAGTAATGTTTTAAAATAAAACTACTTAACTTTGTAATGAAATACCAATAAAATATCACCACAAGTAATCTCATTTTTATTTTATTTCTAAAAAACTTAAAAAATTCGGACAAAAAACCCCCCCCCCCCCGAGATTCACGTCCCTGGCCCTTTAACAACAGCCTGCAAACCTTTAGTGCAGATAAAGAGAATCAGATTTGAACCGGATGACAAGAAGCCTAATTCGATTCCCTTTAAAATTAGGGAAACACATTTGCATCTAATAACTTACACGAACATCTAAATAACGGGCGAACACTTTGTAAAATCAGTATTTATAATATAAACCGAAATGCATTACTTTTATCGGGCACCGCTCTTCAGACCGACTTCAGCAACCTGTTGATGCATCCAAACCTGAAGCTTCCAGACCCAAAGAAACATGGCATGACTAAAAACGACATGTTTCTCTTACAATTAAAGATATTTCAATTGAGCTTGTTAGTCAAACCGGACCTGGCGGGTCCACATCAGTATCTCCGAATCGACTCGCGCACTTCCACGAGAAGTAAAGCGATTCCTGAAGCAAAGCAACGGCGGAACAAAGCGGTTAAGTTGCTCCTGTGACCGATCTCGAACAGTTACGGCTTTTGAAGAAAGTTGACCTAGTTACGGTAACTGGTTAGCCAGTTAGCTCGTAATTTAACCCATCTGATTAACATATTTACGGATTTCTTACAGACGCAATAACCGACATGTATGGCATTCGGCGTACAAACACAGCACTTGGATTTCTCCGCTAATTAGTTTAACCGATCTCAAAACAAACTGACCTAAGTTAGCGAAGCAGATGGGCTAACCAACTAGCGTGCTAATGTGACTCCAGACAGCGAAGGAGATCGGGGCGTGAAAACACGTTAAGATGTACATTACTCAACCGCCGTCGCCCGTCAAATTTACATTCAATTCATTTTGATTTGTCTAAGCAGTAAAAAGATATTCACCTCAGCCTTCTGCTTAGATCTGCCCTGGCTTTACTGTTCTTTTCCCTCTCTCTCTCTCCTCCAGTTGCTGCTGCTGTTGCTGAGTGTTGCTCCCGTTGGTAAGTAACTGTCTCCACGACTACAGTCACTATGGCGAGCGGGGGTCTCGAGGCAACTGTTGCTACCGTCCTCTTCATACGTCAAGGGCTAAATAGCGAAAGGGGGCGGGGCCAACCTCGAGCCCCTCCTAACGCATTCTACGCCGAGCGGTTAATGTTTGATTCCCGCGGAGAGCGGCTCATAAACGCGCCTCGACTCTGCTCTTCGCCGCCAAAAAGTTGTCATTTTACCGCGCTAACTGCCAGATAAAGGTGCTAAAAACGACCCATTCCAGCAGTTCGTTGGTTACATGTCTTTCCGCATGGTTTGACAATTTAAAGTAAAAAAAAAAAAGCTTGGTTAGTGCACTGCATAACCTATTTTAATATTTAATACTGATACATTTACAAAGTAATATCTGAACAACGCAGCTCTATAAACGGTAGTACAATCTATAAACATTAAAACCTAAACTGTCCATAGTGTCAGGCGTAGTTCCCAACAATCACCGCTTGGTGGCGGTATATCACCGTAGATGAAACATTGCTGTTTTCAAAGCGTATATTATACAAGATTATATTCTATAAGCGCATACAGTATATTGCAAACTATTTTAAAACTATATATGTGAAGCAGTTAAACCTTTCGGTGATAAACCTCTAATTAATTTCTAACTGCATCATGCTGCATTGTTTTCATATCACTTCATTACGTACGTGTAATTTTTCAATGTAGTAACTGGTGTCGTTATTATCTTGGAATTAAAAAATAATAATAATCCATAATCGAGTTTTGTTAAAAACGTCTGTCTTGGCAGTCTACTGCACTTTTTTGGAAGAAATTATAAAAGTATTATGCTTTTGCCAACTTTTTTATTTGATTTTTTATTTTTTTTTATTGTCGTTTTTTAAACTTTGAGGACATATATTTGTTTTGATTATTAAACGTTTGTTGTTGTTGATGATGTTGTTTTGTTTTTAAAGTTTAATACGACACTGAGCTAATAAATTAGACCCTGAACGATTAAAAAATTATTATTATTATATAAAATCCCAATGAAAAATGTGTTGTAAACGTTGTACAATGCCTTCGTTTATTCTTTACACTATTCAGATTACGAATGTTTACGTGTTCAGAACCACAGAGTGAAATGCAGTATATATTGTGTGAAACTGATTTCTCAGTTTTGGCGTTAGTGTACCTGGTTACCAAGGAGACGGCGGTGTCGATGAAGAGCATGCTCGAGAGTTACTCGGGAATCAATACAAGTGAACAGCAGGTGGCGCTCGAGAGCTTTGAAGGAAGTGACTCTCAGTATATATTATTGGCGCTCTCCTCTCGTGAGTTTATGAGCCGGGCGTGAGCTTCGTCAGGTCAACCGGTGTGTGTTTCTGTGAGTCTCACGCATAAACAGACACATCAGCGTGCGTTATCTTTCTCTCATCGCGATTCACAACTGACTTCAAATCTGGAATTTGCATAAAACTTGCAGTGAGAACTTTTAACACCTGGACATCCGGATATTATTAACTAACGGTGAGTGGAACATTAAATATCTCAATGAGAATGTATTTGTGAGTGTTATATTAGTGATGCTAAAAGTTAAGTCTGTGATTGCTACTAGTTACTTGTGTTTACATTAGCCTAATTAGCGACCAAGCAAGACATTCGGGTTTCTTAAGCGTGAAACGTGCATGTCTGTCATACGCATGTCATATCATTCAAACTCTTTATCAAGTCAAAAATAAATCTTTAAAGGGGTCCTGTTTCGGGGGTGTACTAGAACAGGCTCTCGTGCTAGGTTGTTCGAAAAGCACATTATTTACATACATCAACGAGCCGTTCGTTGTAGTTTTTGAAAAGTGATTTCTGTTGAATAAAATATCTCCTTTTGAATTGGACTTTGAGCGTTGTAACTTTGCAGGTCTTTTTTATGCTCAAACAGCAACATTACAGACTAACTAAAGTTGAAAAAGTGAAAAAGCATAATAGGACCCCTTTAAAAAAAACTCAACTTCAAAGTGTTTTGCACTTTATACGATATGTAACATTTAAAAAATGAAGTTACATGCAGCTCTCAACACCTTTTCTTAAAAAATCACAAAAAGGTGATTGAGTGACAAATACAGTTTTTTTTAATTGCCTGGTAACCCTAGCAGCCACATCCCCGCGAGATTTGTAGTACAAACTGACGCGCGAGTAACCTTCCTCCAGAGATGCTTCTCTGCCACGGCAGCAGCGCTGAGGATCGGGGATTTGCTCAGCGGTCACGTGATCGCATGGCTATGCAGAGCCACGCCGTCATTGGCTGCTGGAAGGTCTGACTATGGTGGAGAGAAACATCATTACCACCTAACTATTTACACTACCCTTGGTACTCATGGGTAGACATGTTTGCCTATGCGTAAGTAATAGGCTTGTTTGAGATGAGCAAATTCGGCGCAGAATCGATCACCGCGAGATGCATGCCGGTTAGAAAAGTGTCCGAGTGCAAAATAAACTCTCGCGACGGCGAGGCGGCTGTGTCGGATTATGCAGTCGAGCGCAGTTGCTCTCCACCGACTGCGCTGATCAAAGGCATGATGGGAAACGACTGACTGACGTCACAGCTTAATGCTCATTGGTTCAGACAACCGTGATGCTGCGTTCTCTTCTAAAATATTTTATTTTTATCTGATTTCATATGATTATGTATTGAAATGATGCATGAATGTTCCCAAACACTATGACAGCGCGATCTCTGTGTAAGATAATGTGATTGTTGTCATATTTCTATAAAAATCTAAAGTACATGTTTGTATTAAAGTAAAAATGGATGATAAATACACCTTTCGTATGGAATTAAATAGCAAGCACTTTGAGTGTCTTGTTCATCATATTTATTTTCATATAAAAGCAACAGAACTGAAATGATATCATGTTTATTAGCAACACAGCATGTACGTGAGAATAATGTGATATCTGTCTTTGATCTCGTAGGTATCTGTTCACTTCTAGAGGTCAGAACTGTCCGTCTTGACTGCGCTTATTTCACTCCTCCCCTCACTGCAGCCGCCTACTCTCGCCTTCATTTCAGGCAAGGCAAGGTGCATCTCAAACAAGCCTAATGATTCCCGAGAAATGCAAATTGTCACCTAATGGGGTTTCTAGGATAGTCAAATGATGAGATCTTGAGTTAGTTTGTGGTTGTTGATGCAGTGAATGAAATGATCCACTGCATTCAGAGTGAGTTAACAAGCCACAGGAGATCACTGACTGAACATCAGGTAGTTTCCTTGAGGTTTGAGGGTCTGACTCATTCGGTTCAGTGCCCACTTTGGTGCTAGGGATTTTGTGCTGTGGAATCTTATTTCTGCTGCCACACAATCAATCAATCAATCAATCAGTCAATAAAGTAATTGCAGCTTTCTCACAATTATGACATTTTTTCTTGCATTTTACATGTCCAAATTGTGAGAGAAAAAGTTGCAGTTACCTTATTTATTTAATTATTATTTTGTGGTGGTGGAAAAAAACAACTGGTAGGTGTAAATAAAAAAATTAAACATCGTGAGATGTAAACTCGGAATTCTGAAGGGAAAAGTCAAAATTGCGACATATAAACTTGTAATTCCAAGAAAAAAATGTGAGATAAAAGCTTGCAATTGACCTATCGGTAAGCCCCTCCCCTCAAATGCAGATGAGCCAATGGCAGTCAAGTATCATTTGCACGGGGAGCGGAACTCGGACATCTTTAGGTTTCAGCGCCATAGAGAAACATTGGAAGATCCGAAGCTCGCATCGGTTTGATGGTGTTTATGCTACAAAAATGGAAAACGATGTGCCTAGGGTACTTACGTAATTCTAATTAGGGTAACACTAATTCTAGTTATCCTGAGAGGATACGCAATGTAATTTATTTTATTCCATTTCCTAAATCCAACCAAAACAGAGCAAAATAGCATTCAACCCCAATCACAATGAAGACAAAAACGTTCATTTTCTGGTTGTCATACTCTCATTAATTTACACTTTTCATCTGCTCAAGCAGAACGTTAATGTCATCTTGTGCTTCAGCAAGGTATCTCTGGCTAAAACTAGCTAACGGTAGAGTTAGTGAGTCCATGCTAACTTACAAACCCAAATAGCAAACTGTTCTCACGTCATATACTGTGCAGTGAAAGTTAACACATAAATGAAGGTCTATATTAGAGTGCCTCTCCATATTAATCTGTTTAGATGTAAATTAATGTAATCTTACTCTGCGCTATATGAACGGTGTTGATCCTGCATGTTGTCATTGCGATCGTGACGACCGTAACATAATTATCCCGTTTGCATTGTGATCTGTATTTTTACATATTTTTTTTATATCTTTTATATATCCCTCCATGGCATATTTTAGTCCTATTTGAAGGTCCATCTGTGTCCCAAATTTATCAGAAACGCCTTGGAAGAAGGTTTTCACCGACAACTGTCATTGTAAGACAGTGAGCAACTTTGTTTGTCCTAGTGAGCAACAGTAACTAAGGGGGGCGGGGCTTAGCGATAGGTCAATTGTGGGGAAAAAGTCAGAATTGTCGCAAATACCTTTTTATTCCGTGGCAGAAATAATCCTCTATAGTCAGCAGATCCTTGATTACGAACAAGATGTTTGGTTTATTTACGCTCTTTTGTTTTTTTTGTTTTTTGGTGAAAGTATGTGTATTTGTTTACTAGATCCAACTAATAATATCATTGTTTATACTGTAGCTGAAAAATATCAGTTTATGGAAGTTAAATAGAATGAATAATTATTTTAAAAGATTTGTTTAGACTGATTTCATGCCCATGTATTTTCTACGAATCCAGAATTTCAAAAAATAGAGATTGTTAATGAGTCAACAGAAATATTGTCATGTGTTCTACAATAGTAAACACTCTGGATAATAAACCATATGGTGGGTAGTGTTATCAGCGTCTGACACCACTCCTTTGGTAAATGTTTAAATAACATTCAAACTGTGACAGCTGGTTCAGATTTAATGGTGAAATGTAAATAATCTTTAGTAAACGGATTACTTAGTAACCTTGGGGAAGGAAATATATATAATATTAGGACTGTCAATCGATTAGAAATTTTAATCTGATTAATCACATTCTTTTTCTGTGATTAATCGCACACTTCATGAAATTAAGCATAAACCATTTATCTTGTTTCAAATGTTTATTTTGTCATCATTTGCTATATCCAGCAAAATAAACCAAAAGATTGAAGGGTGATTCTCAAAAATCTATATTTTCTGCAAGCTTTTTTCAAGATAAATTTAGATGACTTTCCAAAAAAGGACACTTAGAAACTCCAAAAGGACACCAAAGAACCAAATGATATAAGGAGCCCATATAAGCACACATGAAAGAAAAAAAAAATCTGAATTTTATAGTATGTGTACAGTGCAACACCAAAGAGCTTTTCTAAATTTTAGAGAAGCCAAGTTGCGATACCGAACAGGACCACATGGAAATACCAAAAAAAAAAAAAAGACTAAACCAACCGCCTGCTGACTGCATACATCTACTACAGTACACGGATCCATTCCGTATAACTAAACACAGCAACATAAACATGACAAATCAAAACATTATCGTGAATGTGTGTGGAAACAACGTGAATGTACGGAAATGTCTGTGCCTGTGCATAAATACAATGTGTGATCAGTGCGTCAAGAGCACTCATACACGCATTATTATAACGGACTCACACGTGCTTACTGTACTGTAAGACTCCTGTGTGCCACCGCAATCGTCTTTACCTTGGTTGCAGTCTTCATCCATCAAAACTTTACTAGCGAGAGGTTATCAAGTCGAGAAACCGTAGTTTGCGTCTCATCTGGCCATACAGCGGTGGGATGTGTTGACAATTCGTTCAGTCTGTACTTCACACAGCGCGACGTGTGAGGGCTCGTGCTCTTCAGAGACAATCGGAGAATATGACAGAGCTCGTGTTTTAAAGCGAAACACACTGGAATTAATAATTCACTGAAAACGCAACACGAGTCTCTGTTCTCTCTGCCATCTCTGATATAATCAGCCTGGTTTCCTTTATATTAGCGCTGTTTTGGACGGATTGTTTGAATGCATTCACATACTGGATCATTGTCTTAAAATTATCTAATCGCAAGCAGAGTAGCAAAATGGGGTTAAAGGGTTAGAATAGAAATTGTGCTTCAGTAATTTTGCCTTAATTGCGTTCAAATATTTTAACACGTTAAGGATTGTAAAATTAATCGCATGCGTTAACGATGACAGCCATAATATATATATATATATATATATATATATATATATATATTAGTTAGTATATATTTGACTACATCTTGTGCATTGATTTGCATGGAAGGACACTGAAGGAGGACAATGATGTCAATGTGAACTTTCCTGTTTCAAAGGAAACTGCGCTTTTCCTGTTTGTGTGTGCAGAAGGAGTAATTTCCTGTTCCAAGTGAAACTGGGAAATGTGTAATGGGATAAGGACACAAAATTCAGGCTGAAAGAAAAAGTTGTATTACATCAGTCAGTATTTTACATGACGTGCTAAAATGTACACAATTGGAATATTTGGTTTCAGAGTTTCTCTGTTTTCACATGACCATTTTCTAAAAGCTTTAAATTTCAGGTCATATGAGATCAAATAAGAACTCGTATATATTAGTGAACTGTTTTAAGATGACTTGTTGAAATTAGGGTGATGTTTACTAAAACTTTAACCAGTCACTGTTAAATGGACTCTATTTTTGACATTATAAAAAGATTGCTCTTTTTCCTCCATTAAATAACAATATTTGCTGTGCACAAAGACAAAACAAGCATGTCTCTATAGTTATGTGCATATTGTTCTGTAATTTTCTGTTGCTGCCAAATTACATTCACATCATTAAATCTCAGAGAATTTTTTTTTAAAGAAAAATGTAGCTTCCTGCTTCAGTGTGTCTAAAGTTAAGATGTAGATCTAGTGATATATATATATATATATACACACAGGTGCATCTCAATAAATTAGAATGTTGTGGAAAAGTTCATTTATTTCAGTAATTCAACTCAAATTGTGAAACTAGTGTATTAAATAAATTCATATATATATATATATATATATATATATATATATATACGTGCAGTTTCGACATGCCTGTTCTAAACTAAACTATCTTTGGGGTCAGAAGCCTGCATTTCACATATTTATTATCTTTTTACATAAAAAAGTTTTCAAACGTCTCACCAAGGCTACATTATTTGATCAAAATACAGTAAAAACAGTTTGTGACTGTGAGATATTATTACAAAATTTAAAAGGACTGTTTTCTATTTGAATATATTTAAAAATGTAATTTATTCCTGTGATGGAAATCTGAATTTTCAGCATCATTACTCCAGTCTTTAGTGCATGATTCTTCAGAAATCATTCTAATATGCTTATTCTGTGCTTAAGAAACATTTCTTAATATGATCAATGTTGAAAACATTCGTGCAGCTTACATATTTGTGGAAGCCATGATGCTTCAATGAACAGCATTTATTTTAAATAGAAACCTTTTTTTAACAATGTAAAAGTATATTCAATCAGTTTGATGCATCCTTGATGAAGAAAAGTATCAATTTCTTAAAAAAAAAAAAGGTTCACAGACACAGGATGCTAATGCAACAAATGAATGAGCAAAGTAATTTGCATACCAGTGACACATGTAAATAGAGCAGATCATCTTTGAAACTGCATGCACTAAATTTTCCCACTACAATAAGTTCCTAGTTTAAATGGCAATGGCTGAAAAAGTATCACGTTTATTTCTTCTTTCCCAGAACCTCACCTCATTAGCTTTGTAAAAGAAACAAACAAGAATGCTGCGGCGCCCGGGGAGCAGTTGGGGGTTCGGTGCCTTGCTCAAGGGCACCTCAGTCGTGGTATTGAAGGTGGGAGAGAGCGCTGTACATTCACTCCCCCCACCTACAATCCCTGCCGGTACGAGACTCGAACCCACAACCTTTGGGTTATGAGTCCGACTCTCTAATATGATGAAAATTACAGGCCTCTCTCATCTTTTTAAGTGGGAGAACTTGCACAATTGGTGGCTGACTAAATACTTTTTTTCCCCACTGTATGTGTGTGTGTGTGTGTGTGTGTGTGTACAGGCATTTTGAGATCTGATAGACATTAATACAAGGATGAAATTTCAACCAGTTGAACATCAGCTGATATATTAGTCATTAGGAAAGAAATATTGTGTTTTTGCTGTCGAGGCCATGTAGCACTATGAATGCAGTATATCACTGTAGAGTGAACATGGCCATGACCGCATATTCACAGCTTTGGAATGATCACTTGACCGCAGATGGCTGATTAAGATACAGAAATGAAGAGAAACGGGAATGTGCTGGAAAATGAAGATGTGTATTTCTAGATAATGAAATGACTGGCAGTATTCAAGCATTTTGGAAATTCAGGTTTAACGTAAAGGTTGCTTGAGTTCTAAAAATCCAGATAAATGTCAAAACTAGCTTACAGTGTAGTGTGGGAATCTTATGAATGTTCTAAAATGCTGATCAGTTCCATCCTCACCCACCAGCTACAAGACACACAAGGGAACATCAGTCAAACCAGCAATGAGATGCAGTGTCACATGGGTTCATAAATCTCAAATGAACCCTTTCGAATTTTACCACTATGCCTTGAGTTTCCAGACAAGGGAGTCTATGAGGATGTTATCAGGCGAGCTGACGTCAGCCAAGACAAGGATTTGCATCTGCTATTGTTGAGTGCATGCTGAGAGTCAGTTGGGGCTGAAAGAGTTTAGAGAGTGTCTAAGAATCTCTTGCCATGGCACCTGCTGAGGGCAGATGAGGACGGCTCTGCTGGGAGGGAAGTTGCCAAGGTGAATTGATTGAAAACGAGGGAAAGGAAGAGGCTAAATCATTCTAACTGACAGAGTAAAAGACAAATGTGTATTTTTCACTAACAAAGTCTTTTTTGGACATGTAAATACAGTGGTGGTTTTTTTTTTGGAACATTGAGTTAAAGATGAAAAGGGGTTTTCAAGCATCAAAACAATAAACAGTAGACACCCACTAAGATGTCATTCAGTGTAAAAATACTTTATATACCAAACAATCTTGTCAGTACTACCACAGTACTTGTTGCTCATAACTATAAAAAGTCACCATATTCATTATCTCATCCATAAAAGCACCTAAAACCAAAACAAAACCTTTGTGCAAGAGGTCATGAAGCACGAGGCTGATAAATAGCACCAGGTTTGTTTTTCATGCCCTGGGTTTATTTCAGACTCTTTCACTTTGCTCGGTACATCTGAAAGCCTGTTTTTCTTTGCTCTGCTGGGAGGGAAGTTGCCAAGGTGAATTGATTGAAAACGAGGGAAAGGAAGAGGCTAAATCATTCTAACTGACAGAGTAAAAGACAAATGTGTATTTTTCTCTAACAAAGTCTTTTTTGGACATGTAAATACAGTGGTGGTTTTTTTTTGGAACATTGAGTTAAAGATGAAAAGGGGTTTTCAAGCATCAAAACAATAAACAGTAGACACCCACTAAGATGTCATTCAGTGTAAAAATACTTTATATACCAAACAATCTTGTCAGTACTACCACAGTACTTGTTGCTCATAACTATAAAAAGTCACCATATTCATTATCTCATCCATAAAAGCACCTAAAACCAAAACAAAACCTTTGTGCAAGAGGTCATGAAGCACGAGGCTGATAAATAGCACCAGGTTTGTTTTTCATGCCCTGGGTTTATTTCAGACTCTTTCACTTTGCTCTGTACATCTGAAAGCCTGTTTTTCTTTGCGCTGACCATTTCTGATTGTTCTCATCATGTGAGCCCTGCTGCCAGAGCTCATTACAAAAGGGCGGTAGCGTCACTGGCATGTGTTTTCATGGCAGCGGTGTGTAAAAACAACAAGCTGTTTTAAAGGTGCCGAGGTCAGGCTTTGGAATGGAGAGGGCAGAAGATAATATAAGGGTGGGTAGCAATATTTTTCTGGATGTAGTGACGCGTTTCCTTTTTTCGGAAATGATACCCTTACTGTTCAGTCCACCCTGAGAGATAAGGAGCCAGGGGCCATGTTTGGAAATTTTGTGGAATAATATGGTCATCTGCCTGAGCAATTGACCTTTTTATGGTTTTCAATAAGACTATTTATTGAGGGTTGTTATAAAAGGTTGTATAAAATGAAGTGAAGGGAGACTAATCTGATTTTGTACAAATTGTTCCCAAATTTTGATATAATAGTGAATGATCTTCTTTGATTGAAGGGAAAAAAACTGTATGTTGATTTCATATGGGAAAACCCTACTGAGGAAAAAGGAAGGCCCTGTCTATTTAGATCATTTTCATGCTTTTCTGGCCATGTGACAGTCACACACTCGCTTCATGTGCTTACTTTTAGATTTAGGCTTTGACTCAACATCCTATTCACTGTTGAATTGTATAGTCCAAAATTAGCTGTTGACCATGCTTACTTGAGCATGAATTTTCTATAAATATTTCAAATCAACTCAGAGTAAATATAATGTAAAAAGCATTAATTTAGTTCCAATCATTTATATTTTTATGTTTTTATTTTATTTTATACATGTCTCCACTCTGGTCATTAAATTGTATATATCTGCTAAAGGCCACACTTTTCTCTAGATATTGACATTAGGCACTGAAAACACTAGGGATGTAACGATTCACTCAACTCACGATTCGATTCACGATTATAATTTTTTTTTAACAAAATGAGATTTAAGACAAATTATAAATTAAATGTGTCCTTTTATTATTGCTTGGACAAAATTCTGCACATTTCTTTGTCAAATTGAAATATAAAACTATAATAATATACTAATATAGCACTTGCATATTACTGCTCTTTTGTTGGTTTTGATTGCTTTTATTGTCCTCATTTGTAAATCGCTTTGGATAAAAGCTTTGAATCGATTTTCAGCCGGCTCGCAGTTAATCGTTACATCCCTAGAAAACACTCTATGTCTATTCTCATTAGTGACTGCGTGTGAACCTACGGCCATGTCCACAGCTGAAGTGATGGACCATCCTGGAGACACGAGCCTCCTCCAGTCCTGTGGAACAGCAGACAGTCTCGCCTCGCTGGAAGATGCCACCGCTGAGTCTACAGCAAAGTCAGTTCCATTTCTTTTCTTGTTTTGTGGGCAAATACACTTGCATGCATACTAGGTCAGGTCTGCAACTAAATTCCCATAGTTATTTATACGTACAAGCTTGATTAGCCACATTAGTTTTGTGTTTGTAAACGTAAAAAAAGAAAGCATGTGGGATTGTTGTCATTGTATTAAAAACTGGTTGTGTTACCACTGGATGTTTGACTCTGCCAATGCAGGTTCATAAAATAAAGATACTTTTAACATAATGATAACATCAATACATTATTACATCATCACTCTTTATGTCCTTTACAGTTGTTGTTGTGTAAAGGAAATAAAATAAAGTAGTATCAAGGAAAAATAAGTAAAATAAAATAGAAAATAACTATTTTGTTATAATATATTTTATATATATATATATATATATATATATATATATATATATATATATATATAT